CTATACGAAAAAACTGTCCACAGGGCCTTAGGAAATTTTTTCTATACGAAAAAACTGTCCTCAGGGACCTGAGGAAATTTTTTCTATACGAAAAACTGTCCTCAGGGACCTGAGGAAATTTTTTCTATACGAAAAAACTGTCCTCAGGGTCCTGAGGAAATTTTTTCTATACGAAAAAACTGTCCTCAGGGACCTGAGGAAATTTTTTCTATACGAATAAACTGTCCTCAGGGACCTGAGGAAATTTTTTCTATACGAAAAAACTGTCCTCAGGGACCTGAGGAAATTTTTTCTATACGAAAAAACTGTCCTCAGGGACCTGAGGAAATTTTTTCTATACGAAAAAACTGTCCTCAGGGACCTGAGGAAATTTTTTCTATAGGAAAAAACTGTCCTCAGGGACCTGAGGACATTTTTTCTATACGAAAAAAGTGTCCTCAGGGACCTGAGTTAATTTTTTCTATACGAAAAAAGTGTCCTAAGGGACCTGAGGAAATTTTTTCTATACGAAAAAAGTGTCCTCAGGGACCTGAGGAAATTTTTTCTATACGAAAAAAGTGTCCTCAGGAACCTGAGGAAATTTTTTCTATACGGAAAAACTGTCCTCAGAGACCTGAGGAAATTTTTTCTATACGAAAAAACTGTCCTCAGGGACCTGAGGAAATTTTTTCTATACGAAAAAACTGTCCTCAGGGACCTGAGGAAATTTTTTCTATACGAAAAAACTGTCCTCAGGGACCTGAGGAAATTTTTTCTATACGAAAAAACTGTCCTCAGGGACCTGATGAAATTTTTTCTATACGAAAAAACTGTCCTCAGGGACCTGAGGAAATTTTTTCTATACGAAAAAACTGTCCTCAGGGACCTGAGGAAATTTTTTCTATACGAAAAAACTGTCCTCAGGGACCTGAGGAAATTTTTTCTATACGAAAAAACTGTCCTCAGGGACCTGAGGAAATTTTTTCTATACGAAAAAACTGTCCTCAGGGACCTGAGGAAATTTTTTCTATACGAAAAAACTGTCCTCAGGGACCTGAGGAAATTTTTTCTATACGAAAAACCTTTCCTCAGGGACCTGAGGAAATTTTTTCTATACGAAAAAACTGTCCTCAGGGACCTGAGGAAATTTTTTCTATACGAAAAAACTGTCCTCAGGGACCTGAGGAAATTTTTTCTATACGAAAAAACTGTCCTCAGGGACCTGAGGAAATTTTTTCTATACGAAAAAACTGTCCTCAGGGTCCTGAGGAAATTTTTTCTATACGAAAAAACTGTCCTCAGGGACCTGAGGAAATTTTTTCTATACGAAAAAACTGTCCTCAGGGACCTGAGGAAATTTTTTCTATACGAAAAAACTGTCCTCAGGGACCTGAGGAAATTTTTTCTATACGAAAAAACTGTCCTCAGGGACCTGAGGAAATTTTTTCTATACGAAAAAACTGTCCTCAGGGACCTGAGGAAATTTTTTCTATACGAAAAAACTGTCCTCAGGGACCTGAGGAAATTTTTTCTATACGAAAAAACTGTCCTCAGGGACATGAGGAAATTTTTTCTATACGAAAAAACTGTCCTCAGGGACCTGAGGAAATTTTTTCTATACGAAAAAACTGTCCTCAGGGACCTGAGGAAATTTTTTCTATACGAAAAAACTGTCCTCAGGGACCTGAGGAAATTTTTTCTATACGAAAAAACTGTCCTCAGGGACCTGAGGAACTTTTTTCTATACGAAAAAACTGTCCTCAGGGACCTGAGGAACTTTTTTCTATACGAAAAAACTGTCCTCAGGGACCTGAGGAAATTTTTTCTATACGAAAAAACTGTCCTCAGGGACCTGAGGAAATTTTTTCTATACGAAAAAACTGTCCTCAGGGACCTGAGGAAATTTTTTCTATACGAAAAAACTGTCCTCAGGGACCTGAGGAAATTTTTTCTATACGAAAAAACTGTCCTCAGGGACCTGAGGAAATTTTTTCTATACGAAAAAACTGTCCTCAGGGACATGAGGAAATTTTTTCTATACGAAAAAACTGTCCTCAGGGACCTGAGGAAATTTTTTCTATACGAAAAAACTGTCCTCAGGGACCTGAGGAAATTTTTTCTATACGAAAAAACTGTCCTCAGGGACCTGAGGAAATTTTTTCTATACGAAAAAACTGTCCTCAGGGACCTGAGGAAATTTTTTCTATACGAAAAAACTGTCCTCAGGGACCTGAGGAAATTTTTTCTATACGAAAAAACTGTCCTCAGGGACCTGAGGAAATTTTTTCTATACGAAAAAACTGTCCTCAGGGTCCTGAGGAAATTTTTTCTATACGAAAAAACTGTCCTCAGGGTCCTGAGGAAATTTTTTCTATACGAAAAAACTGTCCTCAGGGTCCTGAGGAAATTTTTTCTATACGAAAAAACTGTCATCAGGGTCCTGAGGAAATTTTTTCTATACGAAAAAACTGTCCTCAGGGTCCTGAGGAAATTTTTTCTATACGAAAAAACTGTCCTCAGGGTCCTGAGGAAATTTTTTCTATACGAAAAAACTGTCCTCAGGGACCTGAGGAAATTTTTTCTATACGAAAAAACTGTCCTCAGGGACCTGAGGAAATTTTTTCTATACGAAAAAACTGTCCTCAGGGACCTGAGGAAATTTTTTCTATACGAAAAAAGTGTCCTCAGGGACCTGAGGAACTTTTTTCTATTCGAAAAAACTGTCCTCAGGGACCTGAGGAACTTTTTTCTATACGAAAAAACTGTCCTCAGGGACCTGAGGAAATTTTTTCTATACGAAAAAACTGTCCTCAGGGACCTGAGGAAATTTTTTCTATACGAAAAAACTGTCCTCAGGGACCTGAGGAAATTTTTTCTATACGAAAAAACTGTCCTCAGGGACCTGAGGAAATTTTTTCTATACGAAAAAACTGTCCTCAGGGACCTGAGGACATTTTTTCTATACGAAAAAACTGTCCTCAGGGACCTGAGGAAATTTGTTCTATACGAAAAAACTGTCCTCAGGGACCTGAGGAAATTTTTTCTATACGAAAAAACTGTCCTCAGGGACCTGAGGAAATTTTTTCTATACGAAAAAACTGTCCTCAGGGACCTGAGGAAATTTTTTCTATACGAAAAAACTGTCCTCAGAGACCTGAGGAAATTTTTTCTATACGAAAAAAGTGTCCTCAGGGACCTGAGGAAATTTTTTCTATACGAAAAAACTGTCCTCAGGGACCTGAGGAAATTTTTTCTATACGAAAAAAGTGTCCTCAGGGACAAAGAACAAAGAGTAAAGCAATATATTCTATCCTCACACTGGATATTGTGTTAATAAAAATATTGTGATGTGTGTAATTTTAAGACTATTTGACTCTTACATAATAGGGTTATAATTATTAAAAATTTTGACCCTTTGTGGGGTAGGCACTTGATGCAGTGGACTTATATTGTCCATTTTCGCACTTGGTCTAGCACGGAACGGACGAACACCCCTAGATTGAATCTAAATGTTCTGAAACGGATTTTGTCCAAAAAGACCTAGGTTCTAAAATCGTTATTTCGATGCGACACGCTTTAGTCGTATCAAATGATATATATCCCCTTTGTAGCCATATGACTAAAGTTATAGAGATAATGTTTTGAAGTACTTTTAAGATTTTAGTGGTTTTTATATGTACCTAAAAAGTACTAAAATCCCAAAAGTACTTTACCCTCAGCTATAAGGTTACAAATGGTATATATCATTTGATGCGACAAAAACGTGTCTCATTGAAATATATGGGAGCTATATCCAACTTTCAACCGATCTCGATAAAATTTAGTGAAAGTATTTCTGAGCTGTATTTGATATAGCTATATCTGCACCGATTTCGGTCAAATTTGGCATTCGGTCAAATTCGTAAGTGCCAAATTCCATCCCATTAGGGCTAATATTACACGTTCGAATATATGTATATTTGAACTATATCCAAATCTGAACAAATCTCGATAAAATTTACCGAAAGTATTTCTGAGCTGTATATTGCCCCAATTGTCGTTGTTACAGAGTGCATATTACAGCTGCGGAGGACAAAAATAACAAATCGGATGAACAATATATATGGGAGCTATAGCTATATCTGAACCGATTTCGATCAAATTTGGAATACTTATTTTCAGGCTTAATCTGGTTGTATGATATTACACGTTTGGTGCACACTAAAAATCAAATCTGACGAAATATATATGGGAGCTATATCTAAATTTTGACCGATTATTTCCAATTTCAATAGGGTGCGTCCATGATTCAATCAAATGATATGTGCAAAATTTCATCTGGATCGGGTAATAAATGCGACCTGTATTTTGCTTACAAAAATACATGGACAGACGGTCGGACGGACATGCATAAATCGACTCAGAATGCAGATCATCAAAAGGGACTATGGATCTATCTCGTTATCTTTTGCCTGTTACAAACAAATGCACAAGGACTTAATACCCTGACCTGGTGTAGTGTATAAAAATCAGTGAAAATTCAAAACTGATTCAATACGTGGTCTTCCTCCGATTCCAGTCGTTAAATACATATAGAAGTTTATGGAAGCTAAGACTTTTCCGACTGAAAAATGTTTCGTCGTAATTACCTTGAAGTCCTTCCACAAACCCTGTGAAATATAATCGCATAAGTCCCAAGGCAACTATTTATGATTCACTTCGTAAACATTTTCACATTCACATGAAATAAACGAATGCATTTCCATGAATATTTATTTTCCAATCTATCAACAAAAGAAGCATAAATGCAATTCTTTGCATTTCCTGGAATACATTTAAGAAGATATGCGAATGTATGTGTGTGAATGAGTGTTCACACACACACACACACACACACAAGAAAAAAAGAACAACAATAATATTTACACAAAGTTTTGTTAGAGTGAATTGCTGGCTGGCTGCTATCTTTTTGCGCCATTTTAACACTCATTGTGTTCGTCACATATCATTTTATATCGTTTTTGTTTGGTAGCTTCTCTTACCTGCCTTCATCCTCGGTACTACTATCACGTGTCTGTGAACTCTGTCGACTGCGTCCCAAACGCATTAAACTGCGTACAGCTCGCATTGCGATACGTTTCTCCTTGACAACTGGCACCGGGCTTCCACCGGGTGTGCCAGCTTCACTGGATGCAGCCGTTCCAGCACCACCTCCCCCACCACCCATTGATGTGCCACCAACAGAATTGCTGCGACTTTGTGACTTGCCATGGCTACTGTCGGCACGTTGTCGACTCGGTACAATTGGTATCGGCTGTGTTGTGGAAGATGATCCTGGTGTTGTTGCCGATATTGTTGGTATTTGAACATTTGACGTGGCACTGGATACGACACGTTTCAGGAGTCGCTTTCTCGACGATTCACTGCCACTCGAAGCTCCACCGCCACTCGATGCAAGAGTACCACTGGAATCTGTGGGGGGAGAAGATGAGGGAAATATTAGTATTGTTTTTTTGGAATATTGTTAAGAAAATATCTCAACATAAGGATTTGATCAGGTCATCAGATTCATGGTGGTTTTTCGATTTTTTATTATTGAAGTATTTATTAATTTTGAGAGAAAACAATTCATTCTATACATTTACTCAGATACGTTCACAAGTCTCCATTATTTGAAAATTTTGTAATTATATGTAAATGTGCCGGGATTCGATATTCGAGCTACATACAGGGTGAGACAAAAAAAAAACTGCAACAAAGCCCAACGCCATAATTTTTACACTTTTTTTTAAATTTTATTGAATGAAAGCAAAACATGTCGGAAATAACGTCAAATTTCAGAATAAGTTTAGATTTGTTCGAATTTGTCACCTTTGGCACGAATTATGGCCTTCAAACGGCCAATGAAACCGTCACACGCTGCCTTAATGTTTCGGCCCATTCCCGGCGAAGCGCTTTCTTGAGGTGATCGACACTTTGGTATTTTTTCGTGCCTACTTTGCTTTCCAAAATACTCCAGATACAATAGTCCAACGGATTGGTATCCGGAGATTTTGGTGGCCATTGTGTGCTGAAAATGAAGCGAGGAACATCATTTTGTAACAATATTTGGGTGGCGCGTTCTAAGTGCGATGGTGCTGAGTCCTATTGGAATGTCCAAAGTCTGCATTCAAAATGTTTGCGTGCCCAAGGCTTTAATTCACCCTCCAGAATATTTTCGTGATAATATTCAGCTATTCGGAGAGCGATCATCTGCTGTTATGACGGCCCACACCATCACCATAGCCGGCGCTTCAGTTCTGGTGGCCAACCGAAGGTGCACATTTCATCTGACCTCTTTGGCAAGTAAACAAGATCATTTTGTTTGTTTACAAACAGCTAGACAACGAATGTTTCTCCTTGGGGGAAACCAAATTCGGCACTACACCACTTTCGGCCAAGCGACGTAACTCTTTAGCTCTTTTGAGTCTATAGGGTTAGAAATTAAAAATAAAGGGTTAGAAAATAAAAATAGGTTAGAATAAAAAAATAAAATTTTGCACACGTGTTTATTTTTCCAGTAGGCAGGTTACGTTCGTAAATGGGCCATGTAGGTCCACGTTTTCATATAGCCCCCATATAACGGTACCTCCAGATATTCGGTATTTTGATGATTTTAGCGACATTATTCACCGGAATTGTTTCAAATTACTTATTTAGAGTTCGTAATGGGAACTACAGTCTTTGACAGAAAAATGTCTATGCAGGTCCAGGTCTTCGTATAGGCCCCATATATCAGTACCTTCCTATATTCGGTATTTTGACGAGTTTAGGTACAATACCCACCGAAATTGTTTGAGATATCGTATTTGACGTTAGTAATGGATGCTATAGCCTGTGACAGAAAATTGTCTACGCTGGTCCAGGTCTTCGCACAACTCCGATGTAATGGTACCTCCCTATATACGATATTTTGATGATTTTTGCTGCATTATTCACCGGTTATTTCAAGTTTCGAACTTGAATATGGTAATGGCTAATGGCAAACAATGCCTATGTAGACCCGAATATAACGACAATATTCGGTATTTTTAAAATTTAACATAATTTTTTAAGGATTTTATTTTTTTAAATTTCCAAATTCGTTTCAAATGGTGGAGGGTATTCAATGTTTGGCCCGGCCGAACTTACTGCTTTTTAACTTTTTCAATATTTGCCGAATGGAATATTGCGATATGTTCTGCTCACGAGCCATTTTTCGAACCATTTCTGCTTATGTTGCTGTTTTCTTCCGTCCACATCCTTGACGTCGGGGTACGCTACCAATATCACGGTAACGAGCGATGGTACGAGACAAAAAGATTTATTCACATTTAAATTCTGGAGTGCTCTAACAATAGCCACTTGTGGTTCTCCTGTCAAATATAAAGAAATCACACTATCACCCTTGAATTCCATCACGAATAACTTTTTGTCTGAAACATCATCGCCTAAATGCTTTTGTACGCTTGTAAGCAATACAATGAGCTGTCACTGGAATAACTTTGAAAGCTGCCGGACGAGTGTTTTAGAAATGACAGCAGTCTGAAATTAGTTGCAGTTTTTTCATCTCACCCTGCATATTACCTTATATTGTGCATTTGTTTCTAACAGGCAGAAGGAAACGAGATTGACCCATAGTTCCTTTTGATGATCTGCATAGAATCACATTCTGAGTCGATTTATGCATGTCCGTCCGTCCATCTGTCCGTCTGTCCATGTATTTTTGTAAACAAAGTACAGGTCGCATTTATTGCCCTATCCAGGTGAAATTTTGCACAAATCATTTGTTTGGCCCAAAGACGAACCCTATTGAAATTGGAGATAATCGGTCAAAATTTTGATATAGCTTCCATATATATCTTCGTCCGATTTGCCTTTTATTGTGCACCAAACGTGTAATATCAGCCCGAATTGTATGGAATTTTGCACATATAACCAAATTAGACCTGAAAATAAGTATGCCAAATTTGATCGAAATCGGTTCAGATATAGTTATAGCTCCCATATATATTGTTCATCTGATTTGTTATTTTTGTCCTCCGCAGCCGAAATATGCACTCCGTAACAACGATATTCAGGGAAATATATAAAATACAGCTCAGAAATATCTTTGCTAAATTTTATCGAGATCGGTTCAGATTTGGATATAGCTCCCACATATAACTTCGTCCGATTTACCTTTTATTGTCTAATATTTGTCCAAATGGGATGGAATTTGACACATACCACCGAATTGAGTCTAGAAGGTAGTATGCCAAATTTGGTGAAGATCGGTTCAGATATAGCTATAGCTCCCATATATATTGTTCATCCGATTTGTTATATTTGTTATCCCCAGCCGTAATATGCACTCCGTATCAACGATATTCAGGGAAATATATCAAATACAGCTCAGAAATATCTTTGCTAAATTTTATCGAGATCGGTTCAGATTTCGATATAGCTCCCATATATATCTTTATCTGATTTCAAATTAATTTTGCTCCAAATGGGCAATACAAGTCTGAATTTAAAAGATACAAATGCTTCGGCATATTTAGTCCTTTGAATTTTAAATTATAATTATAATTATAGGGTGTATGATTGAATTCTCCCATAAAAACTTTTAAATATTAAGTGGAGCTCAACTAAATTAGCAAAGTAGTGTAGGGTATCATAAAATCGGCCCCGCCCGACTTTAGGACTTTCTTTACTGGTTTTTGTTAAATTCAAAATTTAAATTTCTGAACATCGATGAGTCCGAGTCCACAACTAATATCTGGAGGCATTGCAAGCGGAACATCCATAATTGTTAATGATTGCTTTGACTTGGATCTTAGTCACCACAATCGATCAATAATTAATTTCACCTTTTTTAAATAAAAATTAATAATCTATCAAAGAAACCCTATAGTGCTTGAAATGAACAACTTTGCCCACAATAACCCATTTCCTTTCGTTACCCCAAAAATGATATCTACAGGTCTCACTTTCTGCTTCATTACTTATCTCAGCCCCGGTATCACAATTGGTTTCCTTTCACTTGTTTATTCAGGATTGCCGAGAATATTTGAAGTACTTCGCAAAACTTTTTTTAGCAGGGGAATGTTTAAATGACACGCTTCGTTTATCAATAAGAAAAACGGAAAAGTTACGGAAATGGGGCATATGTAAACAAAAAAATTGTTTGTTGTTTTTTTCTTCTACAGATGTTCTCCATTTTAAATATTCACATTCGAAATGTATCCAAAACAAAGTAAGCCAACCAAAAAACGTCTCATCATTCTCTGCTTTTAACAGCATTATAAACGAGGATTTAAAAAAAATGTTTTTTGATCTGAAAAATCAACTTTTTTTGGTATTTAATAACAACATTATTACGCGAAAAGTCAGGTTAGTCTTGCAGATATTTATATTTACATACTCGTGTGTATTTAGGCTTTCAGATACAGACCGACAGAGAGTAAGGCAGACATGGTAAACATGGCAAATGACACGGATAAACAAACCATGCAAATCTCTTACCACAATATTTACCGTCATAGTAACTGACTGATAACCGTAAAATGATGGAGTAGATTTTTTCCTTTGCAATTTGATGAGGCATCAAGGATATACTGTAGTCGCCCTTAAACAAAATATTACAATTGCAGACATTTCAAAAAAGTACCAAATAAGGATGTTTGCATATTTAGCCAAGTAAGTTGGATGGATTGGAATATCAAACATATTTGCCGCCAAATGACTGTGTCTGACAAGGTAATTTTAAGAGGGGCATTATAGCTGTTTGCTTTTGATCGGAAGTTTATTTGAGTTATTTGCTTTTCAATGACATACTCGTGTCGCCATCTTAAATAATAAAAACTGCAACTAACTTCGTACTGCTGTCATGTTTAAGCTACCCGTCCGACAACTGTTAGAATTATTCCCAGAAAAAAAGTTATTCGTGATGGAATTCAAGCGTGTTAGTGTGATTTCTTTATATTTGGCTGGAAACTCACAAGTGGCGATCGTTAGAGCACTCCAGCACTTAAATGTGAATAAATGTTTTATGTCTCGTGGGATCGTTCGTTACCGTGATACTGGTAGCGTAGCCCGACGTCATGGAAGTGGACAGAAGATAACAGCAACGTCAGCAGAAATGCAGCAGTTTGAAAAGTAAAGAAGCGACTTGATCGAAACCCGCGTCGCAGTGGCCGTAAAATGGCTCGTGAGCTGAACATATCGCAATATTCCATTCGGCAAATATTGAAAAATGAGCTCAGGGTAAAGCCATTGAAATTCCAAAAAGTGCAAGAACTTACACCGCAATAGAAAGAAAATAGACTCAAAAGAGCTAAAGAGTTGCTTCGCTTGGCGGAAAGTGATGAACTGCCGAATTTGGTTTTCTCCGATGAGAAAACATTCGTTGTCCAGCAGTGAAACCAACAAAATGATCGTGTTTACTTGCCAAAGAGGTCAGCTGAAAATGC